GCTTATTAGCCTAAGCAATCTAAACGAAGGTCGTAGTGATCCTAAAACCAAGAGCATGCATATAGAGAACATCCAAATCTGACTTCATATGAGGAAGTTATGATTTTTCGAAGTTTGAGCACAGCTGTGTTAGCATAGAAATCGAATTTTAGATAAGTTTATTTTTAGCCAAAATAATCTAAAGGAGATTCGAATATCTCGTTAATAGGATTCCGTCAATATAAAGACAGTCGAGAACGGATGTCGTATGAAAAAGATATGAATTTTAAACAGAGATTAGCAATCTAAGCCTTCTAAAATAATAAATAAATAATAAAGTGAAAATTAGTTGACAAAGTCTAAATGAAATTTACAGATCTCATAAATAACTATGTGCGGATATACAAAACGACAAAAACGGAGTTCGTGTGAAGAAGTTACGAATTTTTGAAGTTTTCCCGAGTGTGTCACGTGCAAAAAGGCGCAGCGGGAGCTTCTAGAAGCCTTAACGTTGCTCCACCCGCTGATCACCACATGTCACACTCTGGGTGGCCGACCAGGCCAGGCCAGGGTGTGGCGTGCAGATGCCCAAAACTGCCTATAAATAGGTTTCATTGCTTATTTGATTTCCTACACTTTCTAACTCTCTTTCTCTCTTTCTTTCTCTATTTCTCTCTCTCTATCTCTCTCTCTCTCTCTCTCTCTCTCTCTCTCTCTCTCTCCCTCTCTCTCTCGAGTTCTACTCCTTACTTGATAGATCTTGATTCAGACATTGAGATTGTTGAGGATTCTAGACTATCATTAGTCATAAGAAATAATAAACTAAGGCTTAGTAATATGAACATAGGCCACATCAAAAGAAAGTTAAGTGCTGAAGCGAAGGGCTGCCCAATTTTCCATTTATCCATTTTAACAAGTGGGTGCATAGTTACTTTCAGCTTATACATAGATATAAATTATCTAGAGGATTAAATGTTATGTTTGCCTATTATCTGTATTCCTTGATATCTATGTTCGATGAATTATATGATTTTTACTTGATTTAATCGTATATGTATTTTTCATATATAAAATATATTGGGTAGTGATGGGTGATGAAAATGATGAGATGATGATGAGAAGACTTGACTATTGATGAACTAATCGTCTAACAGAGTATAGATGATGACCACAGACTATTCTAGACAGTCTAGTGGAAACACTGGCAGGCTCACAACCTTATGATAGGTCCCGTTGGGAATCCCCAAGCAATATTGTCTACCCGTTGCTAATGATGATCCTTATCATAAATCCCATGTGATCAATATTTTAGGATCAGTATAATAACGATAATGGTTAATCGGGTGAATTATTTGATGTGAATTATCTAATTAAAGAACGTAATTATTGTGGGTTGAAAACCCTATGTGCTCACCAGGCCCCCAAGTTTGACCCACGCAGTTTCTTTGTATCATAGGTAGCGGTACGAAGGCACATGGATGATGAGTGATTTGAGGAGTTGTTAGGCCATAATATAATAAATTGTTGTAAGGCCTATTAAAACAAGTTTATGCTTAGGTATTCGTATTGACGGTGACATCCCAAGGTTTTTATATAATGAAAAATGTTTCTTTGGAAATATTAAAATATTATGTTTTGGGAACAAGTTCCACAGATTAATGAATACTCCAAATTTAAATAAGCATAAGAAAATGTTTTAAATTGGTCGTGAAAATGGGGATGTCACTGACATGTAACTCTATAAAAGCAACGATTTTTATGATGCATTTGGATGTGAGAAAGCATCTTGGAAAAGTATGGATAGGTGGCTCAAGGGATTAAGAGCTTAATCCATTAAGCTGGTCGAAACAGGTTTCACAACGTGGTGGTAGGCAGTCTTACGACTGTTTTGTCATGAGGCTACCATGACGTGACATATGCTTGGGCACGATGTGGTGGTCAGTTGAGGTGGACTCTGACTGTTGACTTTTGACCAAGAGGGCTTTTAGGCTATAGACTGAGGATGTGCCTTTAATTGTTGTATAGGTGGCTCATAACATTGGTCTATGTTTCGTGTGATTTGTGTTGATTGTCTGCTAGCATGCTATGTGAGTTTTCTCATTATACTTTGTACTGCAATATATATATATATATATATATATATATATATATATATATATATATATATATCCTTTGTGTGTAGGATGTTGATATGATGTAGTGGTCTGTTAGATCTGTAGATCTGTTATGATTACTTGTGTTTGCTGGTTATTGTTTGTTGGCATATGTCGATGTATTGTGGTTGGGTTAAGATGATACTGCTTTGTGTTGTAGGCCTAGATACCGCACTGGTCCATTTAATATTGTAGGCCCAAAGAGAATGGTCCAGCCCCATACTATAGGCTCAGGAGAGCGGTCAAACTATATGTTATAGGCTCAAGAGAGTGGTCCAGTCAGACTGAATGCTCATGTGTGTATGTATTGTATGTGTATTGTTGTGTGAGGTATTTTGGAAAACTAACTAAACTTTAGCTTACAGATGTGGATTTAAATGTTTCAGATACTTTAGAGGATCGGGGGAAAGCAAATGCGTGATTGTACACAACATCCGTGGATTTTGTTAAGACTTACATCATGTGTGACAAACCAGACTTTATGATTTAGAAGCATAAACAATTACAAATATATTATCTCTTGATTTACAAAAAATAACACTCAACGTGACTAATATCAAACTTAATGATTAACACTTTTTCATCATTTTTGCTCTAAATAATAGCTACATGAATATTTTGCAATGTGACTAATAAAAATCATTCGATACACATTTGTGATATGGTGTGGATATTCGAAATCCATACAGCCACTTTGAAATAACAAGTGGCTATACACATAAACGGTAGGCAAACTATAACACACGTTCAACTTCAGTCACACTTATAGTTTATAAGACCATATGTGTCGAATTTTTGCTACATTGAAATCATGTGAGACAAACTCCAGTTTATGAGTTAGCGACATAAACATTTACTTCATGTGACGATTTATGACATTTGGACATTTTTTTGACATTTGGACACTTTTTTGTCATTTGTTTTACTCCTATATATTTTCACTTTTTTATGTATAGAGTAACTAATGCGTCGAACTCAATCTCTTCTATAGTCACGCCCCCCCAATTAATAAGTGGCTAAACGTTCCGCCAAAATCTTTCAGTTCACTTCAGCTACTTAATTATTAGAAGTATGACAATACTGTTTCGAATAGTCACACGATGGAGACCTTCAGCTACTTAAAATATCGTATGAGTAACTGTTCTTTTCCGGCGTCGAGTGACCAAAGCCATAAATGTGGTAGTGTTATGACTTGGTTTTGGAGGAATGATTTTTTTTTAATAAAAATGTCTTTTTAAAATGAAAAAAATTTCCTATTGTTTTTGGGATGTTACATAAATTCTCCTATTTTTTGGCAATTAATCAAACCATATGGGTTACTAGGAAGATGAAGGAGATTTTGGTGATGTAGAGAATTGTAGCGATGCTACAAGGTTCGCATAACAATGGGTTAGAACATAAAGCAATTAAGGTGTTTGATTAAATGCAAGGCTCCATGTAGGGGTGGCAAATCGGGTCATCGTGTCGTGTTTTTGTCTGACACGACACGACACGACAATGTTTTATCTAACACGAACACGACAGGACACAATGTCGTGTTTTTTTAACTAACACGAAAACGAACCGATTAAAAAACGACAAACACGACACGACACGACAAAAATAACATAATAAAAAAAATTAGTTTATTTAATTAATATTTAATCATACATAACACGAAAAACACGACAAACACGAAAAACACGACAAATAAATGCTAAATCGTGTCAATTTCGTGTCGAATTTAAACACGAACACGACACGACATCGTGTTTTTTACACTTAACACGAACACGACACGAACACGAATTTGAATTTCAGTTTCGTCCCAATTTCGTTTCGTTTCGTGTATTTTTGTCGTGTCGTGTCAACAATTGACACCCCTAGCTCCACGGTTAGAATTCTACCACGATCAAAAGTTTGATGATAAAATGTAGAACCTTGGAGTTGTACGTAATTCATTTAGTTTTTGTTATGTTTGTTCTTGACTTTTTTTTGGAGATAATGAATAAGAGAATTAATTACCCTGTATTTCCTCTAAATTTCTTTCTTTCTTTCTTTGTTCTACTTTGTTTTTTATTTTGTGCGTTTAATGCACATGGAGACCCATTTTGTTTTTAGTTATTTCAAAAGGAAAATCAAAAGGAAATTAAATAAGGACAAGTTTGTCATTTTAATTTGTCGATAGACTAAAACCACAATGAAAATTGTCGATAATGGCCAAATTTGCAATTTTGGAACCTTAGAAACCAAAACACATACATGAGATGTTTTTATTTTGAAGTCTGCATATCTAGATTAATAATTAGATATCTATACCACCACATATGGGTATTTCAGTTGAAAATGAGTTTGCCCAACTGAATGTAATGTTTATGCTATTGAATTTGATGTTTATTTATCATTTCAAATATGATAACATTCGTTCTAAGAAGACATAACTACACTAAAAAAAAATTTGTTTCATACACATATTTACCAAATACATTACAATGTGCAACATAAATCCTAAATCGTACCGAAATATTGTACATAAACATTTCCTATATCTAAAACTTAAATCGTAACTAAATGCAATACCATGTTTAAGGGATGTTTGATATCTTTCTTACTGAGTCCAGTGAAAGGTTATATTTGACTCAGTCCGAAGCAGGTCGTTTGGTACCACCAGTTAAATATAAAGTCTCTTAATGGTTCAACATCATCTTACCGATTCAAATATGGAGGGGTTTAAGATAGTATTCATTGAAAAAAAATACATGGTCTTACTCTAACGTGAGGTGGTTGTCGTAAAAGTTGGTGGTGGTGTACTGAATAAATAAAGTACCTTTATTAATAAAAAATACGTTTGTAATTATGGAAATTTATTGAATATTGGCAACTATGTAGTGAATGAAAAAAAAAATCATAGTAAATTATGTGAAGATATCCCAATGTCAAGTAAAATAAAAGTTCAAACTTCTTATCAATTGTATCTATCTATCCTCCCACAATAATATATTGGCCCAAGTGTCATACCGGCTTACCAACATTTCTTTCGGTTCTTATTTCCCCGAACACAAATCACCATAATTACAACATGGTGCTAGATGAACACTCAAAGCATTCTTACAACCTTGGTTACAAGTTTACACAATGCTGCATATCTACCAAATTCATAAGATTTTGTATTTCAAACTGATGGAAATCATCGAGTAAAGAATTCCCAGCTTTCATGCATGTTTTATCCTCATTAGGATCCATCGTTTGTAGAAACTGAACCAGCCCTAAAAATATCTCATGTCTTGTTACATTCTTGTTAACCTGTAAAAAAAGATTACAAATTAAACAAGAATAGACTTATCTTTCCGTTTATGTTTTCTTTAATCATGATTTTTCATTTTCTAAAGTGAAATCTTTTAATTTGTTACCTCGGGTTCAACTATGAAACGTGCATAAATTTTATCACCACGAGCTTCCATAACTCCTTTCAAGATTATCAAGCCAAAACGCCGAATTATGTCCATTATCTCAAGAAAGAATCCTTGTTCTTCGCAAAGCATCTAGAATAAAAGTACAATCCATCTCGTCAAAATTCATGCATAATAAGTTACTAATATATGACATTGTATTACACAAGAAATAATAAATTACTAATATGACATGACAAGATATAATAGGATATAATATAACCTAACATGACTATACAAGATGAAACATGACTAGACATGATATTTTTTCTTTTTGTGGGACAAATAATTATAGTTTTCGTCTGCTTCAATCAAATAGATGTCAAACACAGTTCCTGTTATGTATTTTGAAACAAACGAGCAAAAATATGATAGTTCATTTACCTCTATAATCATTTGACCGGTGGCACCAAGGTCCTCAACTATCAGAGGGCAAACCATTGTCTGATTTCCCAATTCGCAAGCCCATGTCACGCCATTGGTGCGTGGATCATTGGAATCAATGCTATTACGCTGATCAAGTATTCAAAATTGTGTTACATTTATGGTTTTTTTTTTAATGTTAATGGTTCAAATTAAGTACTATGAAACTCAAGAACATGACTTTATTCTCACCTTTGGTTCTTCCGCTTGTTTTATTCTGTCTACTTGTTTCGTTACACTTTCCAAGAACATCATGTGTTTAATGGTCCGATCTAACAAACAATCGATGCTCATCTGTCAAACACAAAACACAATTAAAAACATTAGTAACGAGTCTTAACATGATAACTATATCTTCAAGTCCTAAATGAAGTGTCTGAATTAAGTAAATGACCATTTTACCCTTCTATTGAATTGAAGATTTTACCTTCTCACCACTAGGAATCAATTGTCTCAACTCCGCCATTCGGTCCAAAATTTGTTGGCGGTCTTTGGGTCGAGGTCTAGTCCCCGGTTTAGCCTTTTTCTTAGTGGGTTTAACCGGTTCGACCCGCTTCTCACCTTGTAGAACCACACTCGAACCACTCCCACTATAAGCATCAACCATTTGCAAACTTGTCTCTAATTTAGGCATAATCACCTCTTTCTGTAAAGAACTCACTTCCCACTTACAATTTCCTATCTTTCTTCGTTTCAATGAAACCTGATCACCCTCGATGCAAGATGTTGAAACGACATCTGAAATACCAGAAATACCCTCCAAAACCTCTTCAATCCCGAGTTTCGAGAATAACCTTTCTTTTCGACCAAGGGAAGTAATGTCATGATCATGTTGGGCTGGTTTTGGTTTTGATTTTGATTCTGAACTGAAAGAATGGAAACCCGAGCGATTGCCACCTTTCACCGGAGCTAAAATGGCTTCCAACCCTCCATTGTTTCCGATCACATCAATATCAATACAAGAAATCGTCGGAGATTCACGTTTTACATCAGAATCGAAGGGGTTGAATCCTATCGATGGTGAGAATAAATCATTCTTCGGTGGAGAAAACCACTGAGAAACATTGAAGTCTTCAGTTCGAAAGAATTCATCGGGAATACCAAAATCCGGGAGCGAATCAAAAACAAGATTCAGGTCTTCGGAAGATATCAAGGATTGATTTAAAGAATACGAATCAAATTCAGGTCTTCCACCGTTTACGATTTCTCGAAAGATTCTTTTTGTTTGATTTACGAATTCCATATTTTCCAGAATCTGAATCATCAAAACGTATAGACCAATTAGATTTAAGAATTTTTGTTACAAAAAGTAGAAAAAAAGTGGTTTTTTCGAGTGATTAATTAACCTTCTGATTTGACCCAAATTGTACAACTCCTTGTGGCTCCACAGGGATGACTACAATTGTCTGCAAAACGAAAGTGATAATGAGACCAACGTACAAACAACCATGCAAGAAGTACAACTTCATCTGTGGTGGACATACGGTAGCACCACCATTAATAAGCCATCTGAAATTCGTACCTTCATGCCGGAAGAAAATTGACGACGAAATTCATACTCATCCTGAAAATTAAGTTAAAGGGTGTCACTTAGAACATTAAGAAAGGATCCATTTTGGAGTTTAATCATAAATGTTTGATTTTTTCAAGAAAGATGACAGCTTTTTATATAAATATGAAAGATGAAAGTAAAGATATAATGAAATACCAGAAACATATCCCAGATCGAACCCGAAAAACTGTGTTGTTTGTAATGATCTTCTGAAGTCATCCACATGTGTTTGTTAGTGTAAGCAACTTGCCCAATTATCCTTTAACAAATCAAGAAATGAAAAATTTATCATAATCAACGTTAAAAAACTAAGCATGATTATAAAAAGTTAATTATTTTTATAATTTATACAAAATTTAGGGATAAATGAGCATACCCTCCTCCAATTGGTACTTGTAGAAGCGAATTATCGATCAAGCCTTCGAATTTTTCCTCAAAGTATGCATCTTGCAGAATCGGCAATCTATGAAACAAAAGATGATTTCAAGGTTTCAAGAATCAGTCAAAATGAAATTGCAAGTAAAATGTGATAAATTAATATTTCTTAAAGCCAATTAATTAATAAACTTTAATTTGTAAACACTAAAACATGGGGAGTATCTTCTTGGTGCATGGAAATAATGCATTAAATAACAATGCTACGAAGATCTCACTCCCAATCAAAATATAATCTTGTCATTTTCTTGATACCCAAAAAAACACTTATTATCGAGAAAAAAAAACTCATTATCCAAAAAAAAAAGAAACCCATATCAAGAATACGCAAGATGAACATGAAGAGTGGAATAGATTGAATGTATGCAAGAGAATGAGTACCATAAGTTCATAACCTTGAATGTGTACATGTTCTGTATATATACATATATAGTTGTGTATCTATATATGACTATAAATGTGTGAAGAAGATGAAGAGTCATACGAGGAATTTGGCTGTTGATAGCTCCAAAAAGCACCATAACACCATCCATAATTGCAACAAAGATTCTTGAGCACATTTTTAACGATTGAATCCTTCTGAAAGGTACCCATTTCACCCAGAAAATCAAGAATCGACACTAAATTGGCTTCTTCTTCTTTTGCGAAAACAGAAAAGGGTGTTCGATCGTCTTCTTGTTGTTCTTCAAGAGACTACGAAACCCACCTGCAACAACGAGTGCTTTGGGAAAGTAGTATTCGTAAAAAGCAGTTATGGCAGAGTTGAAGAAACAAGAAATTTGGGTTTATGAAAGATGATGCTATATAATTTCAGAAAGGGAAAGCTGAGTTTTTATTTTCCCAGAAATGAATGAAGCAAATGGTTTGTTATGTCTTGTTGTTACACTGGCAGAAACAGTACTACAAGATGATGATTCTTCTGTTTCAAGATTATATTTATTTTTGATTAAATAATAAACAAATGGCATCAAATGTCTACTGGAAAAGCTGTTTTGTGCTCAAAGCTAAAAAACACACAATACCTAATAAAGCTGTCTCTAGTATGAGACAGAAAATTGGTGTTTTTAAAGTTTTTTTTTTTTTTTTTTTTTTTTTTCCTTTGATAGAGGTAACCATTTCCCTTTCTTTTTTGGAAAGGTGAATATTTTGTTGTTGGATTTTATAATAAATTCAAGATGGGATAAAGACATGTAATGTTTCAATTACTACGTAAAACTTTTATATTTAAACAAACTCAAATTTATAAGAAAATTGACAATTTTGAATTCTTTCTTGACTCGAAATGAATAGTAGCGTCTTTTTGTGAATTGCTTTATTCAATTTTTGGATTTCGAAGAAAAGGTATAATTTTTGTGATATTTGAATTTTTTGTTTTTCATTAGAGAATAAATTTTAGAAAAATTGTAAACTTAACTACATTATGTGAATGACTCATTTTGAACACGCGTTGGTGTCCATCATGCATGAGATCACTTGTGTAATGTTACTAATATTGTGAACGTAATGAGGGTAAAAGCATTTTCTAAGTTAACCTATATTATCACTTAAAATTATTTACATATCAATATTCTATTAATTTTAACTATAATTAAATAATCTTTCCAATGGTTAACCTCTTTTAATAGTTTTTTCATTAATTTTACATAATTTATCCTTATATATTTAAAATATTCTTTAAAATCTCCTCCATTTAATTAGTCATTTTAAGCATATATTATATTTTATAGATGTTGAATGCCACAAACAAACGAAAATAGAAATAAATCGGGTATTTATTATTTAAATGTAAAATATGAAAATAAAAATTACGCCATATTTAGAAAAAAAGTTTAAAATTTTATGTAATTATTATAAATTTATATTTCATAAATAAAATGTCACTAAATATTTAATAGAAATAATTAACTTATACAAAAATTATAAATATTCAAAAATAAAATAGAATTTAGGAGTAAAAAGAAATATGATTAGAAGATGAGAAAGTTCAATAAACTAAACATAAAAATATATTGACCATTCAATATATATTAAATAGTGAATAGAAAAAACCAAATATGCTTATAGCTTCGATGATAATAAATCATAAATAATTTAAAACAAATAGTAATAAATCATAAAATAATTAACCCATTAGAGATGCTCTAAATTCTCATTGGGGGAGAAGAGCTTGATTGTAACCATAACTAGCTTATTCAATATTTTTTGTTTTACTTTTTTTTTTTGTACAAATTTTATTTTTATTAAATGCATATGAATATACTGAAGGTAGAAATTTCAGCATTTGTGAATAGTTTTTATCCTCATAAAACATGTATAAAGAATTAAAGATATATAAATGTTATAATGTTTTGTTTTTCTCAAGACATAAACATAATAAATTTAGAAATTACATAAATAAAAATTGATTGGAACTAAAAATAAGCTGATGTAAGATTTTTTTTCTTTTCCTTTTTCTCTTTTGTCAAAGTTAATGTTTCCAAGTAATTGATTTGGTGCTTTTGTACACAAAAAAATGAAAACAACTAGAGTGAAAAGCTTAACACCTTGAAAGCTTTAAGAAAGGATTTCATCAAGAAAATAAAATTTTATTGATCGTATCATAACAATAATAAGATTTATGTATGCAAAGACAGTTTCACCTATCTTTGATTCTAGATGAAAAATAGCATATAGGTCATATTGATTCATTCTATACCTTTATTATTAATTACATCATTTCATGAACACTTTAGAAAATATGCTTATTATAAGGTTCACCAAACTATCCATTATTATTAGCCTCATTTTGACTACAAAATAAACTCTGTACTTTCCATTAAACTTCTCAAAAATTGCTTTAACGCAATTCCTCTAAGATAACTCGACTTATTTGTTATTAATTATAATCATATTTTCATGTTGTATTGAACGTAATATCTTTTTACATACATAACAATTTATGTTTTAAAAAATTATGTTGTGTAACTATATAAAGCCTAAATTATGTATGGAAAAAAATATTATGTAAGAATCATTTTTATTTCATTATATGATAAAAATAGGAAAGAAAATACTTGATACATAACCATGGATGACCTTGCATGTCATGAAACATATATTTAACCATATCATAAGTTTCTAATATAACATTTAAGGTATTTATTATAAGTTTTAATTCAACCTTAAATTGTAGCCTTTTGAAGTTTTAAAAGACAATAACTTTTGTTTAACCTCATTTCTATATAAAATTAAGACCATTTTAGCCCCTTCATAATACCCAAATAGGCTTACTAACATCACGTAAAGACTCAAGGTGCCTCTAATTAACCCTAACGACTCTCATTGCCTTTAACTTGTCCTATTTGACCCGTTAAAATATCATTATGATGTAGATTAAATCATTAAATATCATTAGTTTGAATGATTATTGTTGGGTGAATAGTTTGATATGAAGAAATGGGTGGATGATGAGTAATTTGAAAGGTTGAAAGGAGGTACCAAAAGAAATAATTAATGGCAGAGAATATTCCGGCAAGAAAGGGAACGGAAGTGATGGCGCAATTGGGTGGTCTCTCCTTGGGAAGTGAGATAAGTGAGTGGGCCTGAAACTATTAAGGTTTGTAGGGTTTTATGGGATACATCTTCTGCAACTCCTCTTCAATCTGCCTCCTCCTTATCATTACCCCACCGCCACAGTACCACCACCATGGCCGTTACCACCACCGTTAACACCACCATTTGTAAGACTGTATTGCCTTTCAAGAACTTACAATGAATATAAGATATATCATACATGAAAATGGTATATAAATATAGTTTTTAATAAACAAATATCAAAAGAAACTTGCTCAAATATTGAACACATTTTTATCTTTTAGAGTAAAAGGGTTGTACCGAATAAATTTATATAGTTAAAATTTTATTAATTATATATTATTGAAAATAAGTTATACTGTAAAATTTAAAATTAATCATATGTAATCGACAATAAAATATAATGTAAATTTTAAAAAGATAAAAAATCATATTATTATTTTCATTAACATAAAAAAATCCTTCAATATAACACAATATTATACAATTAAATATTTAATATTTTTTTATTTAGTTGAATAAAAATGATTTAAATATTTCAATCTTATATAATTAAGTACCATAAAACGTAAAACCATTTAAATTGTAGCGACTTAACGCTAAAATAGACTAATATTCATATGTATTGAATATATTTATGTCATTTATATTAACTATAAATAATAATTATTACATTTAGTTGATGTAAAGTTATAATTAATTTGAACAATAGATAAAACAACATTTAATAAAATCAAATCATTTAATGGTCTCTGCTCGTGTACTTTACGTGTATATAAAATTTATTATATTTCTCACATATTTCAATTATTGTTATGAATTATTATTATTTTTTTAATTAGATGATGTTTTAATTTCAATATGATAATTATTTAAATTATAAACCATTGTTTATATATAAAATAATTTAATTTATAACTTTATATTATTTATAACTATTATTATTATAAATTAACTTTAAAACAACTTAATTAAATTTTAGTTATTATAAAAAATAGTTTTTGATAATCTTTTAGTTAATTTGACTTTTAGATTTATGTTCTTTTATATTTATCGTATTTAATAGTTTCCTTTTAACTATTTAAAAGAATATATATTTGAATATTTTAAAAACTTTATTTGATATTTTACTTTAGGTTTTAAATTTTACACTATATTTTGAATTTTATTTGATATATTAATTTATGTTATGTATTTAATACTATGTTGAAGTCAATAAATTGACTATATCATATTGATAATTTAAGAAGTCTTCTATTTATGATAATGTTGATAATTAACAATATATTTAATTTAATAAGTTAAATATATTTTGTGGAAATACGAAGAGTTGAGAGTTTCAAATAGATATGATAAAAAAATGCTTTATTTATAATGTAGTTGTATTTAATATTTTCGTTTCAACTGTTTTAAAAAATATATACATTGGAATTTTTTAAAAACTTTATTTATTATTTTTATTTTAGGTTTTAAATTTTGCACGATATTTTTAAGGTTTTTTTTTTTGAAACGGCAAATAATTATATATTAAGTTTATTTAATATATTAATTTAGGTTATGCATTTAACATTATATTGAAGTCAACAAATTAGTTATATAATATTGATAATTTTAGAAGTCTTCTATTTATGATAATGTTGATAACTAACAACATATTTAAGTTGATAAATTAAGTATATTTTATGGAAATATGAAAAATTATGATAATATTGATAATTAAATAAATATTTAAGTTAATAAATTAATTATATTTTATGGAAATAGGAAGAGTTGGATGTTTCAAATATATGTGGTGAAATAAAAATGTTTCATTTATAATATAGTTGTATTTAATATTTTCCATTTAACTATATATATATATATATATATATATATATATATATATTATATATATGTTGAAATTTTTCTAAAACCTTTTTCCATATTTTACTTTAGGTTTTAAATTTTACACTATATTTTTAAGTTTATTTAATATATTAATTTAGGTTATGTATTTAACACTATATTGAAATCAACAAATTAACTATATCATATTGATAATTTAAGAAGTCTTTTATTTATGATAATGTTGATAACTAACAATATATTTAAGTTAAAAAATGAAATATATTTTATGAAAATATGAAGATTTAGGAGTTTCAAATGGATTTGGTGAAAAGAAAAATGTTTAATTTATAATATAGTATATGACATAATATGATACGATGATATGATATGATGATATGATGATTACAATGAATATTATACCTGACTAAATAAAAGTTTATAGATTTTATGCTAATAAGTATCTCGTTTTTAGTTAACAAAGTATCTTCTTAAAATTGTATCTTAAAATAATAAAACAAACATGTTCTTTTGGTACAATGTTATCGTCGTTGTGATTGTTAGACTGAATGTTGTACTTATCTTTCACCATTAACTTTTTTTATGTCCTTTCATCGTTACTTTATTTTCTCATCATTCTTATCTACTCTTCAAAACCCATGAAATTGTAATCTTTCACTTTCTTTCATTTTTTTACAACATAATTATTACAGTTTTAAAACTATAATTAAAAAATAAATATAATCAATAAAAAATTAATAAAAATAAAAGTATTTTATTAGTTAAAATAAAAAGTACATAATAAAACCAAGAAAAATAATTAAAAATTATATAATAAAAATAATAAAGCATTATGAAAAACTACATCACTTCGAATCGTCGTCTGAATCTTCGCCAGAATCATTAACGTACATATCTGAATCTTCATCTGAATCGTCAAACAAACCATCATGTCAATCCTCAACCTCGGGTTGTATGTTAGTTTTGTAAATATGTTCCACCAAATCAACGTGAAAGGAGTAATGAAAGTCGTGATGGTGTACTTCTTTTCTGTTTTCCCTATACTATTGCGTACCAACAATTACTCCCTCAACGACCGACAAAATTTTGTTTTCATCATAGCGTCATATCACGTTTCCTCCATCTTCTAAAATCATATTATGTAATATGATACAATAGTACATTATGTTTTGCAACCTTGTGACTTTACATGGTCGTGTCCCGAATTACATTATGTTTTGCAATCTTGCGACTTCATATGATTCTTGTATCGTCTTGAACTTTATTCGTTTTTTTTTTTCGTTCGGACATGTTAACGGTTTCACAAAAACAAATACTTCAGATATATCCCATCAGTAAGATAGTATCCACACTTATATGCTACTCTATTTTTTTGAAACGATAAATCATATGTCTTTCCAATATATATGTTGTTGAATACTGACAATCGATCAAATTGGTAGATTTATTTACTCTAGCGGGACCAAAGAATGCATGTCATACCCAGCCCAATCAGCATCGGAATAAGCAACCAAACGATCAACGTGAGACGGACGAATATGAAGACCATGAGACATAGTTCCCTGAAGGTATCGAAGTATACGCTTGAGGGCAAGAAGATGGGGTTCACGAGGGTCATGCATATAAAGACATATTTGTTGAATCGCGTAAGCAATATCTGGACGAGTGAAGGTCAGATATTGTAGAGCACCAGCGAGACTTCGATACATAGTGGGGTCAGAAACCGGCTTACCAGAACCGGAAAGCTTAGGTTTGGTGTCCGTAGGAGTGCTACAGTGGTTGCAGGAAGACATATCCGCACGAGCAAGGATTTCTTTAACAAATGCAGTTTGGGAGAGAAAAAGACCTTGCGAAGACCTAGTAGCAGCAATGCCGAGGAAGAAGGATAGAGGCCCAAGATCTGTCATGGCAAATTCAGAGGACAAACGAGATATAACACGATTGATAAGGGAGGAATCTGATGCGGCGAGAATAATATCATCGACATACAAAAGAAGGTATATGACCTCAGAGTTACGGTGAAATGTAAAAAGAGAAGTGTCAGAACGACTGCTGTGAAATCCAATGGATGAAAGATAGACTGCAAATCGTTGGTACCATGCGCGGGGGGCTTGTTTAAGCCCGTACAAGGCGTTTCGCAATCGACAATGTTTATGATCCAAAAACCATTTGTATCAGAGCGGTGTTTATGATCCAAAAACCATTTGTGCTCATCATCTACCAGAACCAAAAGCAATGTCAGAAGAAGATAACAATAACCTAGCCATCCAAATAGCCAATCTCCTCAAAAATGGAGTTCAAATTCAAACCCAGATTCCAAAACCAAATCCCTCTGATAGCCTAAAAATTAGCCTCAATCTTACTAGCCAAAACTACCCTCTATGGGCTCGGATGATACGAGTCGCCATAGGGGGGAAATCGAAAACTCTTTTAAACCATCTCACCCAAAACTCGCCAGAACCCAGTGATGATCAGTGGGAACAAGATGATTTGATCGTTTTTTCATGGCACATCCAAAATATCGAGCCGGTCCTTGCTAGTAACTTAACAGAGTTCCCGACAGCGAAAACGGTATGGGATGCTCTTACGGTTACGTATAGCAGCGGCAAGGACAAACTTCAGACTTTTGATCTCCACGTCAAAGCAAACGAGTTCAAACAAAATGGCGTACCGTTAGAAGAATTTTGGATCGTGATGCAGGGTATCTGGGGAGAAATTGAACGGCGAGATCCAAACCCGATGACGTATTCTACCGACATTGCCACTTACAACAAAGTCAGGTCAGAAAACAAATTGTTTCAATTTCTCAATGCCCTTGATCGAAAGTATGATTCCCTTAAAAGAGAGATCCTCCGGTGGGACCCCTTGCCGTCTGCTGAAGCCGCCTATGCTGCTGTCCAAAAAGAAACATCACATCAAAGTATTTTCGGGAACATACAACAAGGGGTGGCGTCGGGTCTGAACTCAACAGGTGATTCCGATGGGTTAGGGCTTGTTTCCAAAGGTCGCCGGTCAGACCATAAATCCAATCCGTCATCATCCCGGGTTGATAAAAGCAGATTGAAATGCGAGCATTGTGGCATGACCAAGCATACGAAAGAACAGTGTTTCAAACTCGTGGGATACCCGGAATGGTGGGCCGACAGACACAAAAAAGGGAGAGATGGCAAAGCCGCAGTCGCCGTTGGCAATCAAGGGACCACCAGCAGCGGCGACCACTCAAAACCCGCCGGAAATCAAGAGAGCACCAAAAAAGGAAACCATGGAGGGAATTGTTGTTTTGCGGCAATTAAAGAAGAAGAACTAGGGGGCATCGCATGTATAGGGTTTGAGAATTACACCTCAAACCCTTCACTCTCTCAACATTTTCATTCACAACCCTATAGTTCCAATATGACAGTCAGGTCAACAAATTCTTTTAACGTTGAGGAAGTTAACATGGCAACAAAAAATAAAAAAAATAATAAAGACTCATGGATATTTGATTGTGGTGCTACTGATACAATGACTTTTGAAATTTCTGACATGTGCTCAATGTCAAAACCACAAAAATCAAGAATTCATACTGCAAATGGAGAAGTTCTCCAAGTCAAAGGAGGAGGGACCATTCAAATTTCACCAAACATGAAATTAAAAAATTGTCTCTATGTTCCATCCTTATCTCATAAATTGCTATCGATCAGTCATGTTACCAAAGAATTAAATTGTGTTGTTCTAATGCATCCAACCTTCTGTATCTTACAGGACATCAGGACGGGGAAGATCATTGGGTGTGGTACTGAGCAACAAGGACTATACTATGTGGATGAAGTGACTCGACAAGGTACTGTAATGCTAGCTCATGGATCTACAGATAGGGAGGCTTGGTTATGGCACCGAAGATTGGGACACTCATCCAGTGGATACTTGCATCATTTATTTCCTGAATTATTCCCAACAAATAAAGTCTTAAATTGTGAGACATGTTTTTTGGCTAAGAGTCATAGACACACTTACAAATCAAATGATACTAAGGTTGATTTTCCTTTTTTTGTTGATTCATTCGGATGTGTGGAGGCCATCAAAAGTTGAGGGGGGACAAAATTTCCGTTATTTCGTTGCATTCATTGATGATTGCACCCGCATGACTTGGATTTACCTCTTGAAAAATAAATCCGAAGTTTTTTCAAAATTCAAAAGTTTTTGTGCCATGGTTAAAACCCAATTTAAAAGTGATATACAAATTCTTAGGTCCGATAATGGGGGGGAGTTTGTTAATACTTCCATGAAACAGTTTTGTCAAGAGAAAGGAATAATTCATCAAACCTCATGCACTCACACCCCCGAACAAAATGGGGTATCTGAAAGAAAAAACCGCTTCCTCTTAGAAATAACCCGTGCGCTCATGATTGAATCCCAAGTTCCGAAATCTTTTTGGCCCGAAGCTCTTGCCACAGCAACCTATCTTGTGAACCGTCTTCCAACAAGAGCTCTTGACTTAAAAACCCCAATTCAAGCCATGTCTAAATTTCACAAACCTCCATCTACCCTTACCCTTGAACCTCGTATCTTTGGTTGTTCTGTGTTTGTTCACATACCAAAATCAGAACGTTCCAAACTTGATGCATGTGCTGAGAAATGTGTGTTTGTCGGTTATGGAGTCAATCAACAAGGTTATCGATGTTACAGTCCGAACAAACATCATATGTACACCACGATGAATTGTGACTTTCTCGAAACCGAATATTTCTACAATACCCAACATACTGGTCATGGGGAAAAGGAGTATGATGACACATTGGGTTGGATAAAATGGATGCCATCATCAGTAGAAATTAATCATGGAACCCAAACCATGTCACAATCCACGAGTCCAGAAGATAGTACCACTACCAATGATCCTCCCAACCTGGCGTCAGAGGTAAGTAATTCTCAAACTCAAGAGCATGTTGATTCTCCCATTGTCTCTGAGTCATCTACTAAATGTGAAACTCATGAGCATGTAGAAACTCCTGACCATACGACAGAACACGAGTCATCACAGGTTGAACAAGCCAGATATGTTCTACCCCCAAGATCCAACAGAGGAGTTCCTCCAAAAAGATACATCTTTATGTGCTTGAATCTTATGATTTTATAAACTATAAAGTTGTAGGACTTGGATTTTGACCAAAAACCTAAGGTTAAGTAGGAAAGTTGGTAACTTTAATGTGTGAGATAATATATGATGAACATTTTAAGTTTTGCATAATTTGAACTAAACATTGATTTATTTGATTATTTGTCCACTTGATCACTGAATTGATAGTATTATTAAATCAAATGATTAGTAATTTGATCATTATTGCTAGTCATATTAGAAATCAGTAACTGATGAAATTAAATTCATTGGATTATCTATAAAATCGACTATATGGAATAGGTGAATCAAATATAAATGGAAGTACTCTTTAGATCTTGTTTCAAAATCGTTATCTGCCTCAGTTTTTAGTTTAAGTATTTGATTGTTTTCAAGTTATTCAAAAGTTGAACGTTAATAAGTTTTCTGAACTTGCAAAATCAGAAAAAACCCCACTTTTATTTTTATTTAATTAGTTAACTTTTAGTAGATATTTTTAATCTTAAATCATTCCCGTTTCGACAACCCTTTCTTACTTAGAACTATAATATTTCGCGACAAGATACACTGCTTAATTATGTTTCAAACTGGTTAGATATAGGATATATAAATTAAAACTAGTATATATAAAATACGTATCAAGTTTTTGGCGCCGTTGCCGGAGAACAGTTTAATTTTAGTTGAAATTATCTATCATTAGTTACTCGATCCTTTTTGTGGGGTAAAATCCACAGAAAGTTAAATTTTTGTTTTCTATTTTTCTAGTGTCCACGACATGGTAAATCTCTCTCCACATAGTCGAAACCTAATTTATAGTTTTTTTTTATTTCGTTTATGTTCGTTTTACGTGTTTATTTTTGTTTTATTTAAGTAGTACATGACCAGGGGATCCTCATCGAAGATATTTAACGATTTAGAATCATAGTTTCGTACGCGAAAGAATGGAAAGAAAGAGGAAGGGTAAGAATCAGACAAAACCGATTCAAAACCCAAATTCAAAACCGAAACCGAGGAATAAAGCGAACCAGAAAACAAAATGGCTGATATTGCGGACATGACCATGGAGGAATATAAACGACATATGCTAGAAGAAAACAGACCTGGTCTCGTGCAACAGGTAATCACGAATGCAACAAACTTCGACCTAAAATGACACATCCTCAACATGCTAAAAGATATACCATTTTTCGAGAAAGACCACGAGGATGCCTAGAAACATATTGACGAATTCCTCGAGATTTATGACTACTATAACATTCCAAACGTGACGAGAGAACTGGGGATACTAAGGATTCTCCCTTTCACACTCAAAGATGCGGCTAAGACTTAGTTGAAATCGCTACCACCTGGAGTAAACGACATAGGGCAACCTAAATGAGTAGTTTATACAACAGTTCAGCCCTCCATCAAAGATTTTCAAGCTAAAGAAGAACATCCATAATTTCCAACAACTTGATGTGGAGTCATTATATGAGGCATTAGAATGTTACAAAGAGATGTTACGAAATTGCCCATAACACGATCTTAACGTGCAACAAGAAATATTTATGTTGTACAATGGCATTAATGTTTGCACAAGGCAACTTCTAGACTCTCAAGGCTCACTAACCAAGAAGAATACCACAACCAACAATGAGCTAATTGAAGAATTCATGAAATATTCACGCGGATACCATAATCCTAGAGACGATGTCACGCGAGGAAAATCAAATAGAGATGGAGCTTTCGACGGCCTAGCTGCGATTAATGCAAAACTCGATACATTGGATCAAAGTATCAAGAAGATCAATCAAAACATCCATGCCATAAAAGTTGAATGCGAAAATTGTAGTGGTCCTCATTTAACTAAAGATTGCGACTTAGATGAAAATGGGAATAGAAAGGATCAAGTTTGCTACTTGAGTTGTGAAAAGTAGGATGAAGATTGGAGGAAGCCAAAGAGGGAGTGGAAGCCTTATGATGAGTAAAAGAAAGAGAAGGAATAAAAATATAGGCAACAAGGGAGAGGCTTTTACCAAAAAGAGCAACCGGAATCCGAGAAGAAACCAGATCTCAAGTCTATTCTAGCCCGATTTTCCGAGGCATCCAAGAAATGACATAACGATACCGAAGCAGACCTCAAAGAACAAAAAACGACACTTCGAAATCAGCAAGCCTTGATCCTAAATATCGAGCAACAAGTTGGGAAACTATCCGAAAGGCGCACATAAAGGTAATAACTCCTCTAATACCTTTAACCACTAACGATCCATCCTCTATGTAGAACCTAGATGAAAACAGGAAGGTACCAATATGTAGGAACCATGCCGTGGGGAACCGATTACCACAACCCATCCAGACGAACAACCCGCTAATCAACCTCCTGTTAAAGCATACAAACCGCCACTTCTGTATCCGATTCGCGCAAAACAAGATAAGCAAGTAGAAGAATACAAAAAATTCCTCAAGCGCATAAGGTCCTTACAAATCAACATGTATTTCGTTGGAGTAGTTGCTCAACTGCCCAAATACGCAAAGTTTTTAAAGGACCTGCTCACAAACCGAAAGAAGTTGGAGGAAACTTTGAGCTTTATACTAAATGAGAATTTTTCAGCTGCCATGCTCAACAAGTTACCAAAGAAGATGAGGGACCCATGTAGCTTGACTTTCTCGTGCCAATTCGGAAACCTAGCCACGAGTCATGCACTTGCGGATTGGGAGCAAGTGTAAACCTCATGCCATACTCATTTTACTCAAAGCTTAATTTTTCGGTACCGAAGCCAATATGAATGGAAATTTACTTGGCCAATAAGTCGGTTACATTTCCACGAGGGATCGTTGAAGACCTATTGGTAAAAATCGACAAGTTTTTTATTCCGTCCGACTTCGTAGTGCTCGACATGGAGGAAGATACTCAAGTTCCGATCATTCTTGGAAGACCATTCCTTAGCGCCACATGAGTTTTGGTTAATGTTTATGAATCAAAGCTGAGACTTCGAGTCGGAACCGATGCAATTATATTTGGAGTAGATCAAACGATGAAGCATTCTAAGATTAGTGATGATGCGGTCTTCTCGATGGACGTTTTCAACATGTTTTTGGAAAACGAAATGAAAGAATGGAAGGAAGAAGAATCACAGGGCTTTAGGACACTGAAGGACGAGGATTTTGATGTTGAACACGACATTGAAGAACTAGAACTACTCTTAGAGGAAAGCAAGTACGAACAACTTAAAATCAGCAATGCATAACAACCACGACATAGAGAAAACCATGCCACATTGTGGTCAGTAGAGAACTCGCGATCTGAAGAAGCATTTAAAGAACCACCATGGCGTGGCATACCTGCCTACCACACAATGGTTACTAAACAACCTCCAAAACTCGATTTAAAACCATTGCCCCCACATTTGGAATACGCCTTGTTGGAAGAACATGAACAGAACCTGATCATTATTGCATCTGATCTATCGCCCATAGAAAATGAGAGCTTGGTTGGAGTTTTGAAGAAGCGCAAAAACACAATGACATGGAGAATTACCGACATCAATGGGATATATCATTCTTACTGCTCATACAAGATCATTATGGAAGAAGATGCCAAACCGGTTATATAAAACCAAACAATACTAAACCTAAAGATGAAATAAGTGGTCAAGAATGAAGTTGTGATGTTGATGGATGCAAGAATAATCTACTAAATTTATTATAGTCCATGGGTGAGCCAAATTCATGTGGTGCCAAAGAAGGGAGAAATGACGGTGGTCACCAAGGAGAAGAACGAGCTAATTTCGACTAGGACGGTAACCGGTTAGCGAGTGTGTATCGATTATCGCAAGATGAACGATGTCACTTGAAAGGACCATTTTCCTTTACCTTTTATTGATCAAATGCTCGAGCATCTATCCGGTCACCTCTACTATTGTTTCTTAGATGGTTTTTCAGGTTATTTCCAAATCCAGATCGATCCTCGAGACCAAGAAAAGACGATGTT